TGATCATATTCATCTCCATGGTTGATCACATCCGCCATATAGTATGGCCGTAAACATGTTTCCTACTAATGGGGCAGAGCCTTACACGGCTTTGTGAGTTTTGTTGCGAAATCTGTGTTAAGCCCAGCTTTTATTTCCATTTGTGTATCCGTTTGATACTTGTGTGCACTCTGGGGGCATTTTCATCGCGTTTCAGCAAATCGCAAAACGTAACACCTCTTCAGACCAATCTTCATCATATCTTTGCCCCAAAACAAAACAGATCAGCTAGATTCGGTGATCAGTGAAAGAAACGACCGAAATGTAGTGAATGAGAACGCCTAAGATAGGCAAACACTTCAAGCAAACACCTTTGCGAGGATGTTTAATCGTCAGTCTGTCCATTGCTTTCAGATGTCCACTTTTTGTGATCTGAAATATTGACATTAACGATGACGATCCATGAAATCCCTCAGTGGGATTATATTACGGGTGTTTTTTTCTGCCGTATAGACAGAACAACACTTGGATATAATCTCTGATCTTCTGAGTGTTTCTTTTTTCAATGTAAATGAACGAACGTAATTTCAGCAAAAGTTTCATAACATTCACAAATTTAGAGATTAATTATTGCGAATCTAAATTATGTGTGTGTGTGCGGTGGAAGTATAAACGAACTTGAAATTGTCGAACAGTCCAGTTGAAGCCAGTTGATCTGGCATTGATAAAATAAATAACATCCGAGAATGCAGTATCCATAAAAGACAGATCTGGCTCCAGAATGAACGAGTCATCTTTCAAGTGTGAACAACTCATATATGGTATGGACGAAAGAATTGAATAACTGCAAATGAGCTTTGAGCATTTGCTAAAGTTATGCGAACAAATGCCTATATATTCTGATGATGTTTACAATTTGGCATTATTCACAGGCAATGTGAATATGGAAACGATTATGGAAATGCATTTTCCAAAAAAAGAGTTATGGAAAAATTGAAAAATGATTATGGGAAATCAATTATGGAAATGAATGTTTTTTTTTCAGTTTAACTGACAATAAATCTATTTTCGTAACTTTTGA